TGGAGTAGCTACAGGTTCCATGTACTCTTTTGTCACCCTCCTATTGTGTTGGCTTCTGTGATATTATAATAAAGTGAGCAGAGAATGTTCCATAGTCAGAAGGCTACTCTTATTCGTTCTTGGAAAGTGAACTATGGAAGCCCTTTTATAGTATATAAATTGGGTGGCCAAGAGCTGTGGGGTATAATTGCAAGCAAAGTGCAATGACAACAGCAAGCCAGGTCACAGACATTTAGGACTAGCTTCAAAATACAGTATAGAATGGTGGCTAAGAGCTCACTGTTTGGGTCATGAAGACGTGGGTTCCAAACTCCCAAGTGTTACCAGTGTGACTTCAGGTAGTTCATATTTATACAGTTGTTATAAGGATTCGATAAATGAATGTATGTAAAGTACTGTCAAATTATACTTCATAAAAAGTGAAAAAACACGTGTTAAAGATTCACTTAATATGATAATGAGGGAATTGGCAAGAAGGTGTGGCTGGTTCAAAGAAAATTAGAGAGAGCAATGCATTTATGGTAGCTGAAGGAAAAAGGCTTGAATAAGGTGGTTAATTTTGATACAAAACTGGTTAATTAATGTCCAAGGTAATAAAACTGTTATTTTTATGGTGTTTTTTTTTTTTTTTTTAATCTTATTTATTTTTAGAGAGTGGGGAAGGAAGGGAGAAAGCAAGGGAGAGAAACATTGATGGTTGCCTCTCACACGCCCCCTACTGGGGACCTGGCCCACAACCCAGGCATGTGCCCTGCCTCAGAATTGAATCAGCGACCTTTCGGTTTGCAGGCCAGCACCCAATCCACTGAACTACATCAGCCAGGGCTATGGTTTTTCTTTTCCTTTTTTTTTTAAAATCAGATAAATCATCTACATCCCTAGTAGACGAATTAAATTTTCATGGCTATCAGTGGTTGGTCTTAAATGGGAATAATTTTGCCCTCCAGGGTACATTTGGCAATGTCTGGAGACATTCTGTGTGTGTGTGTGTGTATGTGTGTGTGTGTATGAGTATAGAATTTATTTTTATAATTAAAAAAGTTTTTATTGAATTTATTGGAGTAACATTGGTTAATAAAATTATATAGGTTTCAAATGTACAATTCTATAATATATCTGTATATTGTATTGTGTGTTCATCACCCAAAGTCAAGTCTCCTTCCATCATCATTTACCTACCTTTCCCTCTGATAATCACCATACTGTTGTCTGTCTGTGGTGTTTTTTCCCCCCTTAATTCCTTCACCTCTTTCACTGGGCCCTCCAACACCCCTAGTCTCTGACAGCTGTTCAGTCTGTTCTCTGTATCTATGAGTCTGTTTCTATTTTGTTTGTTAATTTTGTCATTAGGTTCCACAGATAAATGAAATGATATTTGTGTTTCTCTGATTGCCTTATTTCACTTAGCATGATTCTCTCCAGGTCCATCAATGCTGTTGCAAAAGTTAAGATTTTCTTCTTTTTATGGTCAAATAGTATTCCATTGTGTAAATGTACCACAGCTTTTTTATCCACTCTGCTGATATGCACTTGAGATGCTCCCAAATCTTGGATGTTGTAAATAATGTTGTAATGAACATATGGGTGCATGTATTTTTTCAAATTAGTGTTTCAAGTTTCTTTGGATATATTCCCAGAAGTGGAATCGCTGTGTCATAAGGCAGTTTAATTTTTAATTTTTTGAGGCTCCTCCATACTGTTTTCCACGGTGGCTGCACCAATCTGCATTCCCCCAAACAGTGCATGAAGTTTCCCTTTTCTCTGAAGTTATTTTTGTGGTCACAGCCTAGGAGAGGGGAGCACTACTGACATCTACTGGACCCTGGGGGTGTGACTGCATGAGATATGCTCAGTTTGGTAGGAATTTTTTTTTCCCTTTGATGTTCTCTTATCTGCAGGTCAAGCTACCTTGGTTAAAGCTCCAAAGCTGCTCTTGCAATTTTCACCCATTTCTGTGTGTGCACAAGAGTGGAGAGTAATGCTTATTCTACCTTTCCATATCCTTGTTTTTTCCCAGCTCTCCACCGTGGATGAAGCATTGAAAGAACAGCCGAAGCCACAAACCTAGGTCTGCACAGCCAGACAGCGGCATGGAGTTCACATTAGTTCAGCATGCTCCTTATCCCACGAATAGCCTCATGAGTCAGCTTGCCTCCCTAAGCTCAGACAGAAAGCTTCATTTTTCCCTGATATAGCCTTTGTTTTTACAGGCTCCTCAATGTGCTCTCTTCAAAAGAGAGAGGGAGAGATGTGTTCTGGCAGGTGATTTTTCTGCTATTCTTTGTTTTAAAATTAAAAAGTGTGTGTGTGTGTGTGTGTGTATTTGAGTGGCGCAGGCTTGTAGCCTGGCCCCTGGTTCTGCCACTAACTAGCTGCATGGGGGTTGAGCAGGTCACCAGCTCTCATTTTAATTTCCATACTGACATATAGAGCATTGGACCAGTTGATAGCGCTCCAATATTTTATGGTTCATTTTTCTACCGCAAGCATATCCTCAAAAGGTAACCCGGTCTTGAATCTCACCCTTTAGTGTATCAGTCTCTGCATGAGGTCCTCTTTTAAACTTTCTCCTCTGTTTTTATTAAGCACAGTGAAGCCTTCCTACAGCAAATTCATCATAAAGGGGCTGAGGTTATTTGTTCACAGAAAGTGAAGACTTCAGCAGATTTCTTCTGTTCCAACAAATGAAGAGCACATGCCTTTTGAAACAGATACAATATCCCATTAATTGCTTTGATAAGAGTAATTGCAATGTGAAACTGTACATCCAGAAACTAAGCACTAGTATTCCTTAGTTCATTCCTGATTTTTCAGATAACACTACGCAAAAAGGTATTTATTTCTTCCCCAAATTGTTTGAATGTTTCCATTTTTAATGTCTGTTAAGGTTTTGCTTATTTTTCTTCAAAATAGTCTTTCTCTGACCTATTCACATGCTGAAATGGGGAGAAAAGTGAAGCGTTTTGATTCTCAGTCAGCAGGGAGGAGAGAGTATTTCAGAAATTCTTGGAAATTAAATTTGAAAAATCATACCTAGACTTTAAAAAATTATTTAAAAAAATGTTTAATCTTCACCTGAGGAGTGCTTACTGATTTTACAGAGAAGGAAGGGAGGGGGGAGGGAGGTTGGGAGGAGAAGGGAGACGAAGAGATATTGGGAGAGAGGGAGGGAGAGGGACAGAGAGAGAGAGAAATGTTGATGTAGGAGAGAGACATCGATCAGTTGCTTCTTGTACATACCCCAACTGGGGACCAAACCCACAACCTAGGTATGTGTCCTGACCAGGCATCGAACCCACAACCTTTTGGGGTACTGGATGACACTGCAGTCAACCGAGGCATACTGGCCAGGTCTAGACATTTATTCTAAAAATTTCCTTTTGTTTTCGTAACAGTAATTTGGAATTCCAGCAATCTGCTTGATAAAATTCATGGCCAGAACTTCTAGTTACATACCTGTTTCTTCCTCCTTCCCTGCTAAAAGAGGCTTGGTTTTGTTCCTATGGCCTCTTCCCCAGGAAATGAATCACAATTGGCCCAAATCTATTGTGACAACCTCTTTCCAGCCTCCCTTGCAGGGAGAAGTGGCCATGTGAGCCAGCTCTGGGCACAGAGACAGACAGGAGAGTCTGTTGGAGTCACTGTTGGGTGATTTTGAAAGTCGTGCGGCTCTTTGTCCTTCCAGCAGCCCTCTTCCTACCTTAATGGCTGACACTGTGCAGAGAGCTTTGACTGCTTCCTGTGACCTCCGGGTAATAGAGCAACAAGTCAAGGATGAAACACCCAGGCTTTTTCACATTTTTGAGTTGTGGCTAAAATAGAGGTGCCAGATAAAATACAAGAACACCCAATTAAATATGAATTTCAGAACATCAGCTTTAAATATGTAACATTTGGGATAGACTTATACAGAATGTTATTTGTAGTTTATCTGAAATTCAAATTAAACTGTGTGTCCTCTAATTTTTTCCCCTAAATCTGGAATCTCTATGCACATACCTTGAACTGCCTGCCTTGAGCTTTCTTATGTTAAAAAAATAAACCCAAATGCGTTTAAGTTATATGTCAAGTAATATATTGATTACATGTGAACTCACTCCTGATTTAACAGTAATTTATAAAAAGTACCCAGCACTTGTGTGTTCATCATGTGCCAGTCACTGTGCTAATTAGCAGGGGTGTGTTTTAACTAAGCCACAGAGGTAGGTCCTGCCTTCGTGGAGTTTGTAGTCTAGCTGGAGAGACAGCCACTAAACAAGAGAGTCTGTAAGTGGTAGTATAATTACACTTGTAATTAGTGCTTTGAAGAAAAAAATAGGAGTGCTTTGAGAGCACCACGTAGTGGGGATCAGGAAAGCCTCCCTGATGGGGGCTTTTAGTGGTGTGATCTGAAGGAAGAATAGAAGCTGGCTGGAGGGAAGGGTCGCAGAAGTTTGCTCTAAGCACTGGGAGCGGCACGTGTGCCAGCTGTGAGGCAGGCAGGGTCCTTGGTGAGTCTGAGGAAAGGTCCCAGTGGCTGAAGAGTAGTGGGCTGAGCGAAGGGAAATGAGGCTGGAGAGCTACGTGGAGGCTAGATCGGGGAGTGCCTAAGGGGTTATTTTAAGGATTTCAAACTTTATCCTTATTCTACACTGCACCCCAATAAATAATATTGATATCCTCAACTTAAAAAGAGGAAACCAGGACTTTCAATAGCTTGATCAAAGTCATAGAGCCATTAAGTGGCTAAACTGTTGATTTAGCTCAGGTTGTTTCTTTGTTTGTTTATTTTTATGTGCAGTGTGTGACCAGAAAATAAAAATTAGAAAAAAAAAACCCTAATCATCACTGTGTACAAGCTAGGTAGAAATATACAAATAATGAGAGCTGATCAAATGAGTTTGTAGAGAACATGTAAAGTTAATAAAACAATATATTTTATATTTGTAAGGATTGTGAGCAATCTGTTTGTTATTTATAAACAAAAAGTTATCAGTACAGTAGATAATTTAAATTCCAGCATTGAAAAAGTCCTAAAAAAATCACAGAATTCAAATCGCCTGAATGTGCTTTTCAGTGGAAGGTACTCTGTATTACAAGTCACTGAAATAACTATATCTTCTTTCTGTGATTTTAGACCATTGGTTTGACAAAAACAAAATAAAACACAGGAAAAAACCCTATTTGTAACAATGTCTCAACATAAATGACACAGTGGTTCAGTGGTTTTAGATATATGCAAAAAACAGTAATAGAATAAACAATGACAAAACACACATAAAAAAGTTACTGTAGGAAATTATTGATTCATTTAATGTGACTGCTACTCCTGGCATTGCCATTTTTCACAGGAGGTGGACATTGGTAAGGGATAGGAACCAATATTTTTAAAAAATTAAAAATAGAAAAATACCAAAGTACATTGCATATAAGGTAAATGTTTTATGATACTTGATTATGCGGGTGCATATGTACACATATGTACATGTACAAACATATAGATATAACTGCAAAATAATAGATTACATTAATACTGGATTGTGATGTAAATCTTATTTCTTACTCTGGGTCTCATTCAGAAAAGTTTGACAATCACTGGTGTAGAGGAACTGATTCACTGTGTGTTACTAGCTATTCTGTATCTATGCACTCCTTGGAGTGAAAACAACTCATTAAGATAAATTCTTTTCCAATGTCATGGATAGCTGTTTACTGTTCCACATGTTGGGGAAGTCATGTGTGCTAGAACAAACAAAACAACAGCTGTCATTTTACCAAAGTACAGTATGTTATATCTTGGTTAAGGTTCTTGAATAAGGTTCTTGGTTAAGTTTCTCAATTCACCCAGGAAGAATTCAGTGCATTCTGTCTTTATGCTGTTACTTGCAGACCTTGGGAATAAATATGATAGAAATTAGTGGAGAATTCCAATTCTCATTTTATTACATCTTCACATTAACAACAGTATTCAAAGGCTGATAAGATTAAAGGGATTCTAGCCCTGGGCAGGTAGCTCAGTTGGTTATATTGTCCCCCTGCACCAAGATTTTGGGTTTGGTCCCCAGTCAGGGCACATATTTATGAATGCATAAATAAGTAGAACAACAAATTGATGTTTCTTTCCCCACCGCCCCAAACCCCCAAAAATCAAAATAAGAATTAAAAAAAAGAGGTTACAGGGATTCTGGATTCAGAAATGCTGGTTTTCTGTAAAGAACTAAATGGAGTCCAAATCTCATTCTTTTAGTCCTTTCGTTAAGTTTAAGCCTATCTTAAGATATCAGGTATCCAATGTCATTTGCAATTAGTATAGTAATCCTTGACTTCAAGAAATGAAATGGTTTGAGAACTAGAAGATTATCACAAAGGGTAGCTGGCTGCAAAATTCTTGGTTTGGAGTGTTGTGCTTGATTTAGGGAAATAAGTATTGTTACCTTTAATCATTTTTCTTTTTTAAAAAAGAGATTTCAATTATTTATTTTTAGAGAGAAAGGAAGGGAGGAAGAAAGAGAGGGAGAGGAACATTGACTGGTTGCCTCTCATTTACACCTCAACCAAGGACTGAACCTGCAACCCAGGCATGTGCTCTGACCAGTAATCGAACCTGTGACCCTTCACTTTGTGGGATGCCACCCAACCAACTGAGCTACACTGGTCGGGGCTTTAATCTTTTTTCTTAAACCAAGGAAGCCTGGTCGAATACTTAGTGACTTTGACTTAGAAACCCAGCGATAAACTGCCTGCATTCTTATTACACACCTCATGTTGGAGAAACACATTTTTTTTAGTATAGTATTTAATGTTTGAAATATATAGAATGTGAGAATGATTATAATCTTGGACCAGACAAGTGCTATTTTGAAAAATTTTAATGTAATTTGAGAAGAAAACCAGCAATCTGTGCAGATATTTTTATAGCATGTTATAAGCCATGTGAAAAACTTATACAATACTAAATATCCAACAATTGGAAAATGACTCAATAATCTTATGTCAGTTTGAACTGTTATGCTACTACTACTTTATAATTAGAAATTATATTTTATATAATTTTACAGATTTTATTAGAAATCTATATTTCAATATAGAAAAATGCCAAAAAGAATATAAACATTTGATTAAATTTTTATTTTCAAATTTTTAAAAAATTTTCTTACAGTAATTACATTTAAAAAAATTAATTTAGAGAAGTGCATGGATCGGGGGAGAGAGAGAGAGACATCTATTTGATTTTCCTTCCACTCATGTATTCACTGGTTGTTTCTTGTATGTGCCATAACTGAGAATTGAACCCATAACCTTGGCATATTGGGATGATGCTCCAGCTAACTGGACTACCTGGCCAGGGCCTATTTTGAAATTTCTTATTCCTATTTTAAAGTAGACATGTGACATCTTCTGCATTATGATATCTGAGTCCAGTCTTGCAATTCACTTTCAATGAGCAAAACAGAACTCAGCCTTCAATACTTTATTTACCTGGGAGGGCTATTTAGTTTTATTATATAATGGACTCTATAAAGCTTTTTAAGTATTAAATGTTAATTTAAAAAAGAAAGAAGCATCACAGTTAACCATGTAAACCATGTAACCATATAGAAGACATGAATTTGAACAGCAAAAACATTGGGTGTGTACTCACTAAATTTTAACATTGCCGACTGATAGAAATATAGGTGATTATTTTTTCTCTTTTGCTATTACATTAAAACTTTATTTTGTAATTAATATACTTTTATAATGAGACAAAAATAAACATTTAAAAATATATTTATTTCTTTTTAGAGAGGTGAAGGAAGGGAAAAAGGGAAACACCAATGTGTGGTTGCCTCTCGAGTGCCCCCTACTTGCATGTGCCCTGACTGGGAACTGAGCAAGCGACCTTTTGGTTTTCAGGCTGGCACTCAATCCACTGAGCCACACCAGCCAGGGCTGAAAATAACATTCTTAAAGGAAGTTTGAATGTTGCTGGGGGCTATACTGCCTTGTTATAGTAAGAATAGGTAGTGATTCAATTTTGCCTCAAAGTCTGGATTTAAATAAGGATTGAAGTAAATATATATCTTCATTTCATATCCTTACTCTCCTGGGTCATTTATTGTTTCATTATTAATTAAATTAAGTCTTTGTTGTTTCCCTTTTGTTTTATTAATCACAATTATTATTTTATATGCTTAGAATGGAAAATTAGTTAAGCAGGTTTATGAGATGTTAGAAGGAGCTTAAAGAGGAGTCAACCGAAACATCTGAAGGCCTCCCCACTAGCTCATTCCTGAACTGAGGGTTAAAGCAGGCAATGCAGAGGATCCCTCCAGGCTGGCTTTGCCAGGACATTGTGGTTGGAAGAAATGGGAAAGATGGTGGGTTAATATAACACAGTAATGTATTTATGCAACTGGAAAAAACATAACAAAAGTCTTCAATGTAGGAAAAGCTGATCTGCTTTGGATTTTATTTCTTTCTTAACATATCTGTTACTTACAGGGATGGGTAAAAGTAGATTTACAGTTGTTTGCTTAGAAAATGTAATAATTAATAATACAAGAATTAGCTCTGTTTCTCATACTCACAACTGTAAGCCTACTTTTGCCCACCCTGTATTTTCTTCTTTTAAAACTGTACCTAATATCTAGTATATAAATAAGATAGCCTTAAAAGGTATAGTTAAATATTTCCTTACAGGCCTCTAGGGCATAGGCAAAGGAAGAGGAGGGTGCGACATTCATGGACATGTACTTTCTTGTGGGCTTTCAGCACCTGTCAAAACATGCCAGCTATTCTTAGGCCCTAGACCAGATGGTAAAAGCTGGCATTTGGTATGGAACTAGGTGCAATTTGCCTGAAATACAATCAAGGCTCCTTTCATTTTTATTAGCAAGTAGAACATAAGGTCAAACTCCAGTATGTGACTTTGTCACTAAGGGGGAATTGGACCTGGGCACTGGCCATTATTGAGAGGACGGAAAAGTCTTGGGTGGCCAACAGCTGAACCGCCCTTGGAAGTATCTCATTAGGGCCAGAAAGGAAGCCAATAACCCCTATAAAAATGGCTGTGGCTCAGGTGCTATCATTTACAAAGGCAGAGCCCCTCCCTTCTCCCTACACTCTTTGTATCCATTCATGCTGGTGCCCAGAGCTTCATTGTGGGAGGCCTGTCTTTCATCAAACTAACAGATGGGAGGTGGGCAGGCATATACTGCAAGAATTCTAACTTCCACTAAGAAGTAATTTAATTATGGTCCTGAAATTTCTTCAAATAGGTTCATGCCTACATGAAGGGCTGATTCTGAAATTAGAGTATATAGGATCGATAAACTACTTGGCTGGGTTCAGTCCCCTAGTCTGGCAGAAATTGACTGAGGGCATGGGAAATCTAATTCTTACTGAGAGATGATGGCCTTTGGTCTAGGGCAGTTGTGTCCCACCAAAAAAAGCATGTAATGTTTTTCACTGCTGGTAGTGACTTACACTGGCTTCTCTTGAGTCAGCTGATGACCGCCATTTTGCATGGGATAGCCATGAAAATCCTCTCAGTTCAAATTTAACAGCTGCTGGGTCTATAGTTCTGTTCTCCCAGCATGCTTTGTTATCCTTCTTCTTCTGGTTCCTACCTCCTGTCCTGCTTTCTTTTTGGAGAATTTTATCCTTTTAATTCAGGAGGCTTTAGGAGGTGTATTCAATGACAAGATCAGTACCTGATCCAGTCCTAGCCAGTCAGAGTATGCCATCTCTCTGGCCATAGCGGTTGGTTTAGCAAAAGTCATATGATTCAAGTGGGACCAATCAAAGTCTTCCCTGGCAATTTTCAGCTGGGCTAAAATGGAAAACTGCTTTTAAAAAAAACTATTTAAAGGGAGGCAGGGTAGGAGCTGGGAGAAAAAGCAAAAGAAATAAGAAGTACACATTGGTGGTCACAAAACAGTCATGGGTTGTAAAGTACAGCATAGGGAATATAGTCAATAATAATGTAATAACTAAGTGTGGTGCCCACTGGTTACTTGAAATATCGGGAGTGATCACTGTAAGTTATGTGACTGTCTAAGCACTGTGTTCATACCTGAAACTAATATAAAGCAGTATGATTGTCAAGTATACTTGAAAAATAAAATTAAAAAAACTGCTTAAAATATAAAATTTTAAATGTTTGCAAAAACAGTGAGAATAACATGTAAACTCCTAACCCAACACCCAGCTCCAACATTTATCAACCCATGGACAATCTTGAAAAAGGATAAACTGCCTTTCTGCATTGGGGCTTTTGGGCCTAGGAAGACAGTACTTGCAACAGACACGATGTCTGCCAGTGATTGATGTGTGTCAGTGACTGCTGCCTCTGTACCTTTTTTGCTTAAGCAACATTTAGGATTTCTGTCACTTGCAAAATGTGTTGTCTAATATAAAAATTTTAAAGAGCTCTGGCCAGTGTGCCTCAGTTGCCTCAGCTGGTTGGAGCATTGGCCCTTAGACTGAAGGATAGTGTGTTCCATTCCCTGTCAGGGCACATGCTCAGGTTGCGGGTTTGATCCCTGATTGGGGCGTGCAGGAGAAGGCAGTCAATTGATGCTTCTCTCTCTCTGTCTCTCTCAAAGCAATGAAAAAAATGTCCTCAGGTAAGGATCAAAAAAATTTTTTTAATCTTAAAGGGACACTCAATAAATAATTTTTAAAATCTTGTGTTTATTTTTGAGGCATTTGGGAAATAGAAATTCATGGAAATTTTTTTCTTTTAAACTGTCACCGAGGATATGTTTTTATTGGTTTTGAGAGAGAGAGAAAGAGAAATATTGATTCATTGCCTCCCATGTGCACCCTGATCAAGATGTCCATCCTTTGGTGGACAGGATGATGCTCCAACCAATGGAGCCACCTGGCCAGGGCATGGAAAATCTGTCAGAGTAATAAAGGAGAAGGGGAGCTCGAGACATTAAAGCACGATCACCAACATTTTAACTTTAATAGGTCAAAGGATAGTTTCTGTGTCACTGAAATAACAACCCTCCACTAAAATATTTAAATTACATAACATAAATATTATTAAGAGGTATAACAAAGGGTGAGTATCTTCACCCTTAAAAAAATAATCAAGTCCCCAAACACGTTCAAAGTCTCTGATTCTGAATTATCTTTAAAGCAATGAATGGATGGATACAATCACTCCCATATTAGCATTTTGGTATTCCATTTTTGGTTATATGATGAACCATACTCCTAGCTGTTCCTTTACCATCCACTTCGATAGGACAATACTTACATTTTTGCTTTGCGAGCTCTTGTCTTAGATCTTCATAAACTTGTGAAAAGAGGTCCTCCTCAGATTTTGTTCCATCTAGGTAAACTGAAAAGAGAAAAAGAGAGCAATTCAAATGCTAGCAGGCTGCTTAATATAGGATGCTTACTATGGCACCTGATATCTCTTGGAAAGTACCAGTATGTTTAACCAAAGAACCCAGGACCATAAAGTAAAAAGAAATTAATAGCCATTAAAGAGAGAAATAGATTATAGCCAGAAATGATAAGTTAAAAAATTTTGGTTAATTACAGAGAAATGTGGATTAGCTGATGTGAATGTTATTTAAAAAAAAGAATGAAAAATAATTAAGTGGCACTGTGAATATGGCACTTTAGGAGGACTGAAGAGGTGCCTCCCTGAAAGAGTCATTTAAGGGAGTAGTTCTCTAACTTGTGCGTCAAGATCACCTATGAAGCTTCTTAAACCATGTAGGGGTCTGGGCTCCACCAAATGTGTACTGAATCAGAATTCTCCAGGCCCAGAAGATATGTATTTTTAATAAAACTGGCATAATCAGTTTTGGAGAAAAAGTAGAAGTTATATACATTGAAGGAAAAGGCCTTCTAGTCAGAAAACTGCCTAAGTAGGCGGGGGGGGGGGGCGGGAAAGAATTTTGCCTTTTAAGAAAAAGAAGCACAGTTTGGGAAGGATGTGGGGAGGCAGGAACAGTGGAGAGATGAGGTTTTAGAGTGAGGCTGTGCCTTTGTCTTCAGAGGCCTTGATGTTTGCCTATGTGGGTGTTAACCTAGGGCTGGAGACTCTTTGAAGGTATTAGGCAAAGCAGGGACACACATTCGTATTTTAGATGGAGAAGGAAAGAGAACAGTAAGAAGAGGATGGCTCTGTAACCATGGTCCAAACTGGAAGTCTTGTGACTTGAACCTCAGCAGCGGCTCTGGGGGTAGGGTGAAGGGGTTAAACCTGACTGAAGAAGACTGTAACAGCAGCCAGACCATGGGGAGGCCTCGGGTGCTTTCTCCATGGTTCAGATACAGCCACCCGGAGCCATGAAGCTTCTGACAATATGGAAAACTCCCTTTATTTGAAAAAGTATTGAACAGACCTCGGTTCTGATTCCTCTGCCCCAACCAACAGCCTTCTCTCTCAACCTCCTGTAGTTTCTCTGTGTTGAGCTCTGTATCCCAGTGGTCTGCTTAAGCAGGCGCTCACAGATTGGATGGGGGACTCAAGCGTTGGAAAATTTTAGTTTTAAGTAATAGTTAATAATCTTTGTAGTTAACGCATATAAACAGCTATTGTTTCAGGAACTGAAGGTATGGACCACCCCACTCCAGGAGACCATTAGCAATTCAACCTTTGTGCTCCAGAGGGGAGTACAAGCAATCAAGATGGTATCTGAGCCATCCTGCTCCAGGGAGACACATCTCTCAGCCCAGGACACAGATAAAGAATCTCCAGGCAACAGGGCTAAAGGATACTAGGGAAATTGCCAGACTGCAGCTTTTATCTGATTAACCTTTTTCCTGAATTCCAAATCCCTTGCCTGCACTTTTTTCCTCCTTATAAAAAGGCTGGCTTGAAAGGAAATTTAAGATGGTCTTATAGGGTACAAAACCTGCTGCCTTCTCAGATCGCTGGCCATCTGAATAAGGTGCACATAAGATTCAACCCCTGTCTCTACTTATAGGTTCTGGGGGTGAGAGGCAGCATGAACGCCAGCTTTTCCAGTTTCAGAGCCAGATGTTTTCTCCCAAATTGCTGCTTTGTGGCTCTTAGTCATCTTAATGCATTATGTGTGAAACAGACTTGCATTCTTACCTTACAAACCTCCAACTTCTAAACTTCTGTTTTTCAAAATAGTACCTGCCAGGTTCCAAGGTGTTGTCCTTGATACCTCAATTTCCCACACCCTCATATCTACACTATCATCAGTTCTACTGAGAACGTATGTCCAGTATTGCACCCTCTACACCCACCTTCCAAATAGCCAGAGGGATCTTACTAAAACAAGAACCTGGTATCTATCATGTCCTTGTTCAAACTTCCCTGTGGAGGGTTTCCTACTTTTCTTGGGATAATGGCACAGTCTTTAACTGGCCTATGGCCTTTTAGGGTTTAGATCTTTACTATATTATCAGAAGCAGCTCTTTTCCTTGGTTTTCTCTATGATGAATACACCTACCTTCTTTCGGGTGATGATCATTCCTTCCTGTCCCCTGGACTTTTCATGTACCATACCTAGTGTTTGGGGTGCTCTTCCATCCCAGCCTTCTTTCCTTGGTCCAGTGAAGCTTGTCAGCATGGTTTATATGTGGTTGGATCAGTAGGACTTAGGCAGTCCCCCAAGAGCTTGCTGTCACAGTACTGAGCACACTAGAAAGGATGTGCTCATGTAGCTACTGTGTTTAATGTCTGCTTTCCTAATAGAATGTTGGCTCATAAGAGTAAGGGACCGGATCTGCCTTATTTCCCTTGATATATATCATCAGGGCACTATCTATACACAGAGAGCACTCAATCAATGTTTATTGACTAAATGACCATCTAGATGTTGACAAGCTATTGACAAGAGCCATAGAGAGAGAAACAGAAGCCAGGAGAGCCAGTTGTGGAAGATGGGGAGCCCACAGGTTTATGGCTTAAAGTATATTCCTTTACAATATAATACATGAGAAACATGCCTCGTAAAGTCCTTTCTTTTTGTGTACTTAGAGGCAATGACAAGTGAAAGGCCTTCCGCTGAGGGAGAATGGGCACTCACCAATTTCCCATGTGATGTCCTCTATTTCCTGTCTGTGCTTTAGATACATGGGCCACACGTGGCCATCAAAGTATCCTGGGGGGTCTGGAGGCTGGTAGACCCTTGTACTATCAAAACATGTAGGAAATTTCATGTAGATGGAAATACACATTGATACAGTAAAATAATAACGGTCAGGATAATGGGAAAAAAATCACAGGCGACTGAATCTAAACAGGATTAAGATAACACATTTTAGACTTTTAGACTCAATACCAGTTACAAAGACAATGGATTTAGTTGACTCATCCAAAAATTAGTCTCTTAAAAAAATTAATCTTTCAATTCACTATCATTCATATTATTTCCCCCTTTAGTTTTTTAATGAAATAATTAAGAGACAAATATCAGTGTAAATAATGATAGAAATACTGATATGTTGGATTAAGCTTTAAACTGATTGGTGTTCTTTGAGGCTCTAGCAGAATATAGGCCAAATAACTTAAAATCATAATCAACATGGAATTACTTCATTTGAAGATTTAGGAGGAAAAAGCCAAATGTCTCCTATAAGGGTCTTTTCTTAGAAAGCTAATTTGCATTACTCCATGTGGATGATCATTTATGGAAAAAGGTTTTGCCCATTGTGTAAGAGCTGAGGCTTCCCCTGTTTGAAAAATGGTTTACACATTGCTCAATAATGTTGCTTTTCTTGTTTTTTGTAATTTTTTTTTTTGTCTTTTGAATCACAATCTACAAAGGCAATTTCAAAACTTACCTCCTCCTCCTCTTACATTCTTCATATGGAATGGTCAGAAAGTAGCTTCTATTCCATACAGTGTCAAGGGGCCTAAAACACCAATATATTTTGTTCACAAGGTTTTTTTTTCCCATTCATTCTGAGCCAATATTTGAGTGAGGATGCTTACTTATAATTAAAGAGAAGGAAACCTTCGATGATTAATATGGGAACTTCCTCAGTGCTTCGCCAGTCTGTTGATCCCTGAGAGTGTCTTGAGCTTTCCATCCAGCAAGAAATGGTGGACATCATTTTTTCCATGTTAAGTGCTTCAAGCACTTCAAAGAACATACAAAATTAGAAATCAGTAAAACAAAAGTTTTATGATACAGTTTTTTATGATAAATATATCCTGGGTTCCATAAATGTGTAAAATAACAAATGCTATTCACCCTCCAAAAAACCTAATAACAAATCTTTCAGATAATTGTAAATTCTAATATTGGGAAATTAATGTTTGAAACATTTTTATTATGGAAAATCTGAAACATACACAAAAGTAGAGAATAAAATACAATGAACACCATGTCCCCATTAGCAGCTTTGACAACATAAACTCATGGCTTATCTTGTTTTATTTATAACTTCTATTACCCTCTGACTACATAAATCTTAACATCATTGGATGACAAAATATCTATAAATTCGTTTGAAAGATATATGACACACTGAGGAAAATATTTGCAATGTATTTGGCAAAGAGCTCATAGTTTTAATACATAAGGAGCTCTAAAGGTAAATAAGAAAAAAAAATCATTAAAAACTCTTACAAAGAACACAAATATGCCACTTTCAAACTATAAAATGTCCATACTTTTTGAGCGTACAATTATAGCTCTATAAAAGGAAATATAAAAGTAATTCTTGAAGTGTGGTACCGAGACCAGTAGCAGCGACATCACCTGGGGACTTAACTAGGAACACAAATTCTGAGTCCCACTCCAGAAGTACTGAATTGAGTCATCTGTGCTTAGAGGTTTTAGTTAAATAAATTATGGATTAATTTACTTCACAGATATAGGGCTACTAGGACTTTCTCTTTGTTCTGGTGTTAGTCTTGGCAAGTTATATTTTTCTGGGAAATTGTCAATTTCATTTAAATTTCCTAATTTATTTGCATAAATTGTTTATAATACTCTCATCTTTTTATTATCTGTAGAATCTGAAATGCTATTATCTTTTTTTCCCCCCTGTTGATCAGTGTTGTGTAACCTGTTTGGGAATCACTCAGATTCTTACATATGCAGATTTATGTCACATGCCAAATTTGAGATGTTTTACACCATTAAATCTTTAAAAACTTTTTCAGCACCACATTCTTTCTCCTCTCTTTCTGAGACTCCAATGACATGCTAGATATTTAGTTTTTGTCCAGCATTTCTGTTAACTTCTTTTTCAGTCTATTTCTATCGTTTAGATTGAGTAATTTCTATTACTTTGTCTTGTAGGTTACTGATTCTTTCCTCTATCATATTTATTCCATGCAGCTCACCCAGTGAATTTTCAAATTTCAGTTATTATTTGTTTTTAGTTCTAAAATTTCTACTTGGGTAATCAAAACAGCCTGATACTGGCATAAAAACAGAAACATTGATTAATGGAACAGATTGGATAGCCCAGAAATAAACCCACACCTTTATAGTCTATTAATATTCAACAGAGGAAGCAAGCACATACAATGGGCTAAAGATAGTTCATTCAATAAATGATGTTTGGAAATTTGGATAGACATGCAGAAAAATGAAACTAGGTTACCTTCTTACACTGCACACAAGGATAAATTCAAAATGGACCAAAGACTTAAACATTAGACCAGAAATCATAAACATTTTAGAAGAAAACATAGGGAGCAAAATCTCAGATACTGCTTGTAGAAATTTTTTTTTCTTTTGACTGCTTGTAGAAATTTTTTAATGGATATATCTCCCCAGGTAGGGAAATAAAAGAAAGGATAAACAAATGGGACTTCATGAAACTAAAAAGGTTTTGCACAGCCAAGGAAATCATCAACAAGATAAAAAGACAACCCACAGAATGGGAAAACACATTTGCTGATACATCTGGTAAGGGATTAATATCCAATACAAAACTCAATACCAGCAAAACAAACAACCCAATTAAAAAATGGACAATGGACCTGAATGGACATTTCTCCAAAGAGGAAATACACATGGCCAATAAACATATGAAAATATGCTCAACATCACTAATTATTAGAAAAATGCAAATAAAAAACACAATGAGCTACCATCTTATACCTGTCAGAATGGCTGCCGTCAATAAATCAACAAACAAATGCTGGTGAGGATGTGGAGAAAGGGGAACTTTTTTGGGCTGTTGGTGGGAATGTAGACTGGTATAGCCACTGTGGAAAGGAGATTGGAGATACCTCAAAAAATTAAAAATGGATCTGCCTTTTGACCCAGGAATCCCACTTCTGGGAATATATCTGAAGGAATCCAAAACACTAACTCAAAAGAACATAAGCATCCCTGTGTTCATTGCAGTGTTATTTACAATTGCCAAGAAATGGAAGCAGCCCAAGTGTCCATTAATAGATAAGTAAATAAAACAACTATGGGACATTTACACATTGGAATTCTACTCAACTGTAAAACAGAAGAAAATTTTACTGTTTGCGACAGTGTGGATGGACCTGGAGAATATTATGGTAAGTGAAATAAGCCAGTCAGAGAAAGACAAACACCATGTGATTTCACTCATATATGGAATCTAATGAACAAACTGAACAAACAAGCAAAACAGAGACAGATTCATAGAGGGAGAACAGATGACAGCTAGTTGGGGCAGAGGAGCTAGGGGATAGAGGGACTGAACAAAAAAGGACTCATGGACATGGACAACAGTCCCTGGACAATAACAGTGTGGTTCTTGCTAGGGGGCGGGGGGATTCAAAGGGATTAAATGGTAATGGAAAAAAATACAGTAAAGTTTAAATAAAAAAATAAAATTTCTACTTTATTTTTACATCTTATATATTCTTTACTGAAGCATTCTAATTTTTCACTTGACTCAAGAATGTTCACAATTGCTCACTGAAGCCTTTTAATAAAACTGCTTGAAAATACTTTGTCAGATAATTTCAACATCTTTGTCATCTCAAAATTGGTGTCTGTTGATTGTCTTTTCTCACTTGAGACTTGCCTGGTTCTTGACATGACAAGTGATATTCAGTCTTGTCCTGGAAATTCTGGGCATTACACGGCGAGGCTCTTAAGCCTACTTAATCTTATTTTTTGTCGGCAGTCACCTGATTAGGTGTAGTTTGCCGGGGCGGGCCGTAGGGTTGTAGGGGCGGGCCGTAGGGTTGTAGGGGAGCAGATGTTTAGCTCCCTGCTGGGCTTCACTGATACTGGAGGGGGTTATTGCCAGGATGGGGAGAAAGGGAAAAGCAAAGTGCTCGCGTGGCTTCATTGTTGCTCAGTGAAGGGTGAAGTTTAGCTCTCCACTGAATTCTGCTGATAGTAGCTGATGCTATCTGGGTGAGGAATGTGTGGGGTACCAACCAGCACCACCTCACACTGCCTCTTCCTACCTCTTTGCTTCTAGGTGGGGGTGGAAGTCCAATCCCTGTTTGGCCCCACTGATAGGATCCCAATGGATGGCACGGAGGCCCAACTCACGTCCACTAGTGTTGGTGGGTTCAGAAGTCTTTCCACTTGGCCCTGCTACCATGAGGGGAGGATTGCTTTTCTTCTTTGTTTGACTTGAGTAGGGTGAATATCAAAATGATTTTCTATTCTGCTAGGCTACCCTTTTTCTGGTACTTTGATTAAGGAACAGGTTTCCTGCTTGTTTGTTTGTTTGTTTTTTGTCTGTACCTATGGGCAACTCCATGTTGCACAATTCTCTGCACCTCTTCCTGAATATATAAGAGGCAAAAAGAAAACTCTGATAACTCACAGCCATGTTATTCCTCAAGCACTCAAGTCCCTAGTCAGTCTGCTCTTTTCTTTTCACCTTTCAGTCTTCCCTTTGTTTGTTGTATTCGATCCAGGACTCTTAGTTGTAAGAGAGAGGAGTAGCAAGGAATGGGGGCAACCCATTTGGGCTGGAACCAGAAATACCATTAGTTTTAACATATTTTCTTATCACTCAGTTAAAAATATTTTCCTATTTTCACTGTGATTTATTCTTTAACCCATGGGAGATAGAAGTGTTTTGCTTCAGACAAAATGTCTGGGATTTGCTTCAAAATAATATAAGAGAAAGTGAGTGAGGGAATAGGTAAAATACAATTGGTCAAGAGTTCACCATTTTAAAAGCTGAATGTTTTAACTCATGAGAATTCATTATACATCCCTGCCTACTTTTAAACATGTTTAAAATGTTCCATAAGAAAAAGTTTTTAAAATCAGGAAGAAAAGGTACTGAGTATTTTTCAAACTCTTGGGACTTTTCTACTTCCTCTTTAGTTATTGATTTTTAATTCAGTTCTTTGTGAGGGGAGGATATTTCTGTATTACTTGAAAAGTATTAGGGCTTGCTCCATGCTCCTGCGTATACCTCCATTTTGGTTAAGGTTCCAGGTGTTCTTGAGGAAAAAATGTGTATTCTGTTGTTGTTGGGTGCAGGTTCTATATGTGTTACTTTGATCAAGTTTCATAATTGTATTGCTCAAACCTGTTATACTCTTATAATTTTTGCCTCTTATTCCATTAGTTTTTGAGGAAATTTTATTAAAGTGTCCCACAATAATTATAGATATGTCTATTTCTCCTCTCAGTTTTGTCAGGCTTTGTTTAATGTATTTTGAAGTTATGTTATTAGGTGCATACAAATTTTAGATTGTTTATCTTCCTATTGAGTTGATTTCTCTTTATCTCTAGTAATACTCTTTGCCTTAAAGTTTACTTTGATATTAATATAGTTATACCAGTTTTCTTTTAGTAGGTGTTTGCATGATATATTATCTTTTTCTAGCCTTTTGCTGACTACTTTTTATGTGATAGTATTTAAATATAATACATCTTTTACAAGAGGCTGGTAGTTGGCTTTTTTAAAAAAAAGTCCAATCTGATAATATTTGGAGCATTTTAGTTCATTTAACTTAGGTAGCTACTAATGTTTAAATCTATCAGCTTACTATGATTTTCTATTTTTATACCATCCTTTGGTTTTTTTAAGATCTCTGTTTTTCACTTCTTTTAACTTCTTTCTTTGTATTCATCAACTATATTTTAATGATTTCATCTATTTATAAACTTGATAGCTAACATTTAAAAATTATCTTTTCATGGTCACCATAAAGATTTAAACATTACCTTGACTTAGCTTAAGTTTGTACATTTACCTAAAAAGTTCAGATTCTTATCCTTAAGATAGATTACTGGAAGTGGACACTTGAACCCTTGAATATGGCATAAATATTTTAAAGTCTTTGGGACATATGCTCAATCTCTTTCCAGAGAGGTTGTACCAATTTATTATACTCCCACCTGTGATAGTTTTTGTTTTATTAAGTCAGTGGTATCATTAGATAATTCCCATTGCTTTAAAAGTCTGTTTCCTAGGTAAGTGGGGAAAAAAGTAAACTACAATTCTTTGACTACTTTTGAGGTTGACCTTTTACTGCGTATTATCAAACAAATTTTTGCTTCTGTGAATAGCTTATTCACATCCTTGGACATTTTTTCAATTTGTATATTACTATTTTTCTTATCAGTTTGCAAGAACTCATTTAAACTAGGAATAATTCTTTATCAATTGTTGAAAATAGTTCTTCCTTGTTTAATCTGATTTTGTAATAATTTTCCTTATTAACCTTTAGGGGAGGGGAACAGAAGGAAAAAATACCTGGGCTGCATCTCAAGACACAAGACGAGAGAGCAAATCAAAGACTTTGCCTCTCTTAAAACAAGCATGTGTCTGTAAGAACTGGCTACACAACATTTTCCTCCAAGGTTATCAAAGTTAAAAATAAAGAACATATTTTATGGCTCCTCAAGAGAACTCTATTGGCTGCTAATTTTCATACACTCAATAATCATCTTGTTAATTATGAAAGTTGATAATACCATTAAATGTAGTTTACTAACATGATATTCTTTGTAGCAAAATAAACTTTTTCTGATGAACTTTAATCCTTTGGCTTCAAAGCCATGTTAGATTGCATAGAGGAGTGAGGTGGATCCATCTAAAAAATATTCACAACGCTTTTTGATCAGTGTAAAGAAAAAACCCCTGCTGCCCAGTACCTCTGCGGTCACTGGAAGGAAAGTTCAGAAGCGGAGTGCTTCAAGTTTGCTGCAGGTAAGACTCAGGGCTGGGAAGGGAAGTACAGTTAGTTATGCATTCCCCAGGCAGGGATGACTAGAGTACCAGTGAACACACCTTGCCTCAGCTTCAGAAGAAAAATCTACATCATTCTAATGTTTTCAGTTTTAAATATAAAATTGGGAAAAAGATTTCATTTTAAATAATAGCTGAACATAAATCATAAATGTTTACAAAGGCAGACTAAATTTACAGTAACACATTTGAACACACTTTTGAGAGTGCCTTCATAGAGAGTGAAGTATTTGGGTTTGAAAGAGAAAATGAACATTAGGGCATAATGTTTTTATAAGATCATCTACTTACCATCATACTGAAGAAATCCATTTTCATCTTTCTCTATCTCAGACTCTGGCTGAAAAAAAAGTACCCATAAAAACTGTGCAATGTATAAATAATAGAATTATAGATTGAAGAGGCAATAAACTAATAAATGCTTTGGATGATGAGGACAAACAAAATTAAAGAACAGCACCGATAGTGCTGCCACCTAGTGGATAAATAACTCTACTGCATTGACTCTACCTTCACTACAAAAGCTGTATCACTCAGCAAAGGCTTTTGGATGTAATCCAAATAACTCTGCTGCTGGAATTTTTTGTTTGTTTGTTAAAAAAATTATCTAAGAAGTTTTATAGATACCTTAAAGAAATCATCCTGAGATATGACACTGCAGTGTGGAAGATGCTTCTGCAAATTTTTAGCCAGTGTTGTCTTCCCACCATTTGTCACACTGAACCAAAAAGAAAAAAATTTAAAAAATTAAAAAAAAAGGAACATACCAAGGATAAAGATGCATTAAACAAATAAAACGTTTACAAATTATCTTAGAAAAAATATTTAAAACAATAACTAATATCTAAGAAAAAATTATTTCTTTCATAGATAATGTTTTTCTGTTGGCAAAACCATAGGCATAATTAGACCTGATGTAATAAATTATAAGAAGTAAGCTGGGAAGAACTGAGGAGAAAGGTAACTAACTACTGAGCAAGTGAATTGGGTAATACTGAGACTTAAAAATGCAGCTATTGTGTTGGAAAAAAATAATTTTTTGTCTATGGTAAAACATTTACAGGATTCATAAGCAACACAGAAAATGAGCAGCACATTTTAATGCAAGTACATACATAAAACTGCATATGGTCATTGTGATTTTGGTTCAATGTACAATGGAGAAATATGGAGGAGTGGCTTATTACAAGCCCACCTTCATGAATTCACATCTCCTCTGTGAGGTCTCCTTTCCCTCTAATCTCTATCCACTTTGGGGTTAGGTGGGAAGTCCATTTTAGCTTATCACACCAGTCAGGTGAGGTGGTTCCATATTTCACATGTCCAAAGCTGGGCATAACAGAAAAGGAATGACAGATTTTCTCCAATGTCACCCTGGGGGAGCAGCCATGTAGAGAATGAAACCATCCTGAACCAAAGCAGCATCTGATCAGGCCTTGCTTCTGGTATCAGCTCCAGAAAATAAATGATAAAGTAGGAAAACTTTGCCTATTGATTTTCTTGCTTTGCTGTTTATAAGGACACTCTCCTATCTCCTGGTAGCATTTATGTAGCCTGCGCTCCACTGTTTTACATTTGATAGTGGCCTGCTTTCTCCAGGACTTAGGAATCCTCACTGTTTCTCCTTTCCCCACCATGTCCACATGAAAACACCTTTTGGACATCCTGAGTGTGCTGACCAGCTGACTGTAGCAAAACTACTCACCCACCAATTCCAATGACAAATGTCTTCATAATTAGCTTTGAAAATATCTTCCTAAAATTTCCTAAAAAAAGAAAAAATCAAACACCTCTCATTTAGAAGTCTGAAGAGGTAAAAAAAAAAAAAAAAGAGTCCTAAAATAGGAGGAGGGCCAGCTGAGGAGGAAGGATGGCTGTGATCTCTGGGTTACCCTACCCCTGGATTAGCCACCTTGTGTGGAGGAGCTTCACATTGCATAGGCGCACCTCAGAGATAACGTGGGCTCAGTTGCAGACCACCCTGTAATAAAGGGAGTTATATCTTTTTGCTGGTGGAGGGTCTCGCCTTCAATGTGTAAACAAAACACAACATCTGTAAAATGCAATAAAACGAGGTATGCCTGTACTGGTTTCTCTCTGCCACTCTCCTGCTAAGTGCCAACAGATGGTGCATGCTCAGGGCCTGTGTGCCCAAGTCAAGTGAACTGAAAAGGCCTGCATGGCAAAACATATACCCTTGAAGGTCTGTTTCAAGACTGTGGTTGGGTTGCTAGGCTACAGCGCTCATTAGAGTTTCACACTCCTCTTAGCCAGGTTGCTTTTTACCTGCATGATTCAGTCACTTGGAGATGACCCCTACCCGCCATGAAGTGAACTGCATAGCTTCTCTCCCCCTCTCCCCCTTTCTGAAATGGAGAGACAATGCTCTTACAGGGTACTATTTCCTCACCCAAAAGCCTAGGTCTAGGGCCAGGGTAGACAATTTTTTTTTCAGAAATGGGACAGGTAGTAAATCTTAGAGGCTTTGTGGGCCAAGAGGCAAAATTTAGCTTACTATGTAAGTATCTAGACAGGAGAGAAAACAAACTTCTACGTGTTTTTTTTATTTGATGAAAATCAAAACATAATAATAATTGAGTAAAATTGTTTTGGGTAATAAATGCCTACTAATGAGAAGAATAAAATTTCTTTTTATTTGGTAACACTTCCCTTACTGGATTTGAAAGTGAGTGCTCCCTCTCACGAAACTGATGGCAAATGTTCAAGCAGAGGGGCAGGTTTTAGCCACAGGTCATTGACTGTTGGCCTCGAGCTAGCGAGTGGAGGGCAGTTTCATACATGGTCATCTAGAGTTCACCAGAGCCGTCCCTTCCAATGGGTCATTTTCACATTTTTAAATGAAGAGGTGAAGCTCACTGAAACAAATCTTAGAAAAGTTGCTTTTTATTCCTGACTGCTTTGGTTGAGTGATCAGGACCTAAGATGTGCTGTCCAGGGTGAGTGGCCCCTGAGCTGGAGGCTCCCAGCGGCCCTCCCATTCCCTTCTCTGACCTGTGCGTAGGCTTCCTCTGGGGAGGGGTAGCGGGGAGGGGTAGCGGGGAGAGGAGCCTGGTGGAGAGTAGGCTGTGGTTTCTTGGTGTCTTCTCAGCTTATCCAGATTATTCCAAATTCAGAGCAATTACTTAAGGTTTAGTTCCACTTTCACTAACAAGTCTATGTGAAACAAGAATTCAATAATGACTATGCTTAAAAACAAAACAGAGTAAGTTGGACATCTAAGTTTCACCAGGGGTTACACTGTTGAGGATATATTCCACCCAAACCAACAAAGCATATCAATGGAATGATTGCGTAAAATGAGTATTGTAAATTTTTATGCTGCCATTGTTGACATAAGAAACCTCCAAACCTATAGAGACTTTTTATGAGTTTATATGAGCAAAACTGATGACAATTGCTGGGAAGCAAAATCTCATGATTCAGAAAATGCTCTGGAGAATGGCAGTTTTGCAGTTTATTTTAAGAGCTAGAATCAAAGGAGGAGACAGAAGGGGGTTTACATGAAATTCATTGGTGATAGATTAGGGAGGCGGGAAAAAGCAAAGTGGGAAAATCTCTGAGATTGGAGAAAAACAGAGACACATACTTCTGTTCCTTTGGTGGGTCCAGGATAGTTAATAATTACCATTTATAGCACAAGGAGAAAGTATTTGGGAAACAAGATAACAATGAGGGGTCTGTGATTTCTAGAATCTGGTGTGAGGTTATACTGAGGGGTCAGGAAAAAGGGGATTACTCTGACCTCCAAAGGTTTGTTACCTTAGATGTAAAAAGACAGGCTCGCTTAAGGTAAAGATTGACCTTTGCCAAGGAAACTATAGGCCCAGGACATCACTACCCACCATGACTTGTTTTAATTAGGAATTTTTATGTTCAGACCATCCCATGTGGTTACTTTCAGTCTCTGAGTTTGTAGGGCCACCATGCAGGCCTCCCTTGGGTTTGTCAAGTTTAGTACATGGCTTTTTTGTCCTCATAACTTCTCTGCTTTTGAATTTAATTTTACCCTATTCTTATTTTTTAATGTCAGTGCAAGGCTGGCAGCTATTCTTTTTTTGGGAAGAGAAAGACTGCCCTTTATATTCAGATGGTACCTTTCTTACTTTTTTTTGCTAATAAATGTTCTTTCTCTTACGAAGTTATGTTGGCAGTAAATAGTAGTAGATTGGTGTCCTCGCTTGGCAAAAAACAAAGACAAAAACAAAAACAAAACATAAAACTTTGTCATTTTTGTCCCCACACCACTCATTTTTAGATAGTTCATCAGAACATTAAACTCTTAAAACCAGAGAAGTATAGTCTTAGAGTTCACCTACTCTCTACCTCTTTGTTTTTCAAAAGTTGAAACTGGCCCAGAAAATGGAGTGATTTGCCCAAGGTCACACAGCTAGTAAGTTTTGGAAAAGCGAGAAACAAAACTAGAACAAGAAGTTAATTTCTTCCCTCTTTCTAAGCTGCAAAAAAGCACTTTATTACCAAGGGCAAAGAAAGGATGGTGCTCAGTAAATGAGTTGATAAAAAAGCTGTAAAAGCTGTGGTGCGATTTCCAGCCACGGTGGCGGCACAGGCAAACACGGCTCGCCTCCTTGCACAACCAGATCCAAACTACAACTAAACGATAGAACCCCCGTCACTCAGAACCAGCAGAAACCGAGTTGAATGGAAGCCTGACAACTAAAAGAAACCACATCCATTCAGACTGAAAGGAAGCATGGAGACGTGGAATGGGCTGGTCCCACATACATACATGGGTTGGTGCGGTGGATAAAAATCCAGAAGGGATTATTTCAGGAACAAGGAGTCCCAGCCCCACACCAGGCCCCCCTGCCCAGGATTCCAGTGCCAGGAAGATAAATGCCCATAACTTCTGGCCACAAAAACCAGTAGGGATTGAGTCAGCAGAAGAAACTTCTGGAGTGCCAAGCAGTTCCTCTTAAAGAACCCACACATGGACTCACCGACTCAGACTCACTCCGTCTGAGCTCCAACACCACAGTAGCAGCTCGAAAGGCACCAGTGGCATACAGGGAGAAAATAAAGTGGCTGGCATCTAAGCGAGCGCTGGGGGACAGCTTCCTCCCAGACAGAAAGGTGGCCAGAGCCACAGAGCCAGCAGGGGGGTGCCATATCTGAGACTCCACCAACCTGGCTAACACTGTTTGTCCCACCCTGGAGATCCCCTGAGGCTCTGTCCCACCCAACTTACAGCTGTTAACAGGAGCTTTTCCACATGAACGGTTGGTTTTGGCCCAAGCTTCACAATATCCTAAATCTTTTCCAACAAGCAACAACTGACCTTAGGGAGCCCCAACCCCAGTCAGTACCTCTTGCTAAGTGGCCCCAGGCCCAGCACTAGCAGCAGCCAGCCTAGATTCACAGTTTGGCTTCACCTGGACATCTCCAAGCCCAGCACAAGTGGTAGCCATCTCAGATTGCTCTATAGCTCAGGCAGGGTGGCCTAGGGGAAAACACAGGTGGGGGCTAACCTTGGCCTGCATAACCCTGGAAACTCCAGGGCCTGTGCACCCAGTGGACAGCTACAGACTACGTCAGAGCACCACCATCCTGCCCCTGCACGGCTGATCCTCCACGGAGGGTGGAGTTTGGTGGCAAGTGGTCACGGCCAGTCTTTGCAGCTGACTGGCCTTGGTAAGTCCCTCCCATTGACCTGCCAACAGAAACCAAGGCTCAACTACAAGAGGAGGCTAAACTCAGCCCACACAAAGGATGCACCTCAAGTACCCAGCTTGGATGATAGGGGAAGCTGTGCCACTGGACCCTACAGGACACCTACTATATTAGTAACGATACCAAGAAGGGCAGTCATAGCAGTTCTAACTCAGACATAGAACAAACACAGGGAGGCTGCCAAAACGGGGAGACAAAGAAACATGGCCCAAATGAATAAACAGATCAAAACTCCAAAAAAAGAGCTAAATGGAATGGAGATAAGCAATCTATCAAATGCAGATTTCGAAACACTGGTTATAAAGATGCTTAAGGAACTTAGTGAGGACCTCAACAGCATAAGAAAGATCCAGTCAGAAATGAAGGATACACTAAATAAAATAAAGAACCATTTATAGGGAAACAACAGTAGAGTAAATAAAGCCAAGTATCAAATCAATGATTTGGAACATAAGGAAGCACAAAACAACCAATAAGAAAAACAAGAAAAAAAAAGAATCCAGATAATTGCAGATAATTACCTGCAAAGGAGTTTCCATAAGACTGTCAGCTGACTTCTCAGGAGAAACTATGTAGGCTAGGAGGCACTGGCAAGAAATATTCAAAGTCATTTAAAGCAGGAACCTATAGCAAAGATTGCTCTACCCAGCAAAGCTATCATTTAGAATCCAAGGGCAGATAAAGCGCTTCTCAGATGAGAAAAAACTAAAGGAGTTCATCACCTAACCATTATTATATGAAATGTTAAAGGGACTTATTTAAGAAAAGAGCAAAACTATGAACAATAAAATGGCAATAAACACATACCTGTCAACAACTGAATCTAAAAAACAAACTAAGCAAACAAGAACGGAGACAGAATCATGGATACAGAGAGTGTTTTGATGGTTGCCATATGGGAGGGGGTGTGTGGGAATGGGTGAAGAGGTGGGGGGATTAAGAAGTACAAATAGGTAGTTACAGAATAGCCATGGGGATGTAAATTACAGTATAGGGAATGGAATAGCCAAAGAACTTATACGCATGATCCATGGGACCATGGACATGAACAGTGGTGAGGGGACTGACAGAGGGAGTGGTGGATGCTGACTGGAGGGGGACAAAGTGGGAACAATTGGGACAACTGTAATAGCATAACCAATTAAACATAATTTAAAAAAAGCTGTGGTACATTTACACAATGGAATTCTGCTTAGCCATTAAAAAAAAGAAGGATATTTACCCTTTGCAAATCTATTTTGGACCTGAAGAACATTATACAAAGGGAAATAAGTCAGTGGGGGAAAGACAAATACCATATGATTTCACTCATACGTGGAATCTTATGAACAAAACAAACAAATAAACAAAATAGAAACAGGCTCATAGATATACAAAGCAGACTGGCAGCTGTTAGAGGGGAGGGGTGTTAGGGAGCTGGGTGGACAGGTGACAGGATTAAGCAAAAACCAAAAACAAAACTCATGAACACAGACAATAGTATGGTGACTACCAGAGGGGAAGGGAGTTGGGAGGAGATAGAAGAGGGTACAGGGGGATGATTGGTGAAGGAAGGAGACAACTTTGGGTGGTAAACACACAGTACAACACACAGATGATGTATTTAGAATTATATACTTGAAACCTATATAGTTTTAATAAACATCATCCCAATAAATTCAATAAAATTATTTTTAATGGTGCACATGTGCTGGCTTGTGAGGCTCTCATGTATAATTAATGTCCTTTATATTGATGCATTATTAATGGGTAAATATTTGCTGGGCACACTGAACGGCAAGGAATACTGGTCCCCTGTGCTTCTTCCCACATCTGTGCATGCACACAAGGATATTCTATCAATTACATAGCATGTACATAACAAGTGAGTGTGATTGTGGCCCTGGAAAATAGGCTTAGGGGGATTATTTTGGTGGCAACTGTAGCAATTCAGAAAACAGGAATGAATCAAGAACCTACTATTATAAAATCTCTTGGCCTCAGGAGGGAACTCCCCCAGTCAAATGTAAGTTCTTACCAAAACAGGAACCCTCAGTTCTGTTAGTCAGCAGTCTTAGTCTTAGTTTGTACAAGACAGCGTTTGGGCACATGTTGGGTATAGTCCATTAGCAATGAACAGATGACAATGTGGTGGGAAGGGTGAGGAAATGGAAGAAGCAGAAGCAAGACCTGAGGCTGCTCTGAGTAGCTGGGGAGGTAGTGGGTGTAGCAATCCCAGACGCGATTTATTTCAAAAACAATGTTGGATGCAAGGGGCAGCTTCAGGTGAATCCTAAGTTCAGGCCCTGCATTTGCCTACTTCAACATCACGGTCTGTTATTTCACTGCCTGTTGTGTCCTCTTTAAGAAGTATTTAAAAATCACATTTAAAAAGCTTTCAATCAAGAGTTTCCAGGCTATAAATATGTATATGCAGCAGCAGGCTCTATGAAGCAAATTTGACCAACTGCATACTGTTAATCATTGAATGTCTCCAGAGAGACAACCATTTGGACTTTTCAGTCTCATCAGTCCAGGACATCTGATTATTGGGAATATAAACCACCCCCAAACTTGTGGGATATTTATGTATTTATTCTCCCAATAAACCTAACGCTTTCCTCAACAGCACAGGGTATTTGCATAGGGTTAGGAGATCTAAGATCCAAAAGCAAACACTTTTTAAGTGATTTTAATTATTTTTAGTACTTTTTTTTATCCTAAGTAAAATATGTTGTTGAGTCCTTTCTTCATAGCTGGTGTTCCTTATATTTCACTATTAAATTCGGTACATTCTGGATTCCAAACTGCAAAATGGTCAGAGGTGGCATGTGCAGAATCAGCAGATTGTACGGATACGGCAACTCCCTAGTACAGAGAGTCTGAAAGGCGGATACCACGCTAACGACGGGCTTTGCTTTTCTACGTATTGAAAAAGCAGTTTGATGTTTTTAAAAGAGTGAAATGTTTTCAGGACTTCTCGCTCATTTATTTTATTCAATAGATATTTTGATTAACTTCTTCCACGCAGCTGGGAAGTCGTTTCCTACTATTGTTTAAATTTTTCTCCCTTTTGGTAAACAGAATTCTCTCAAGGATAAAGTTTCTGAATATGCAAACCATTCCCCTTACCCCTAATCACTCGATCTTCCACTAACCCCCAGAGGAAATTTCAAAGCTTTGTTTTACGTAGACTCTCATGCAGAAAGTTTTTTCAATTTTTCTTTCCGCAAACATAGTATTTATATTGCCTGTGCTATTACGAACTTATGGACGCTGTATTTCTTGTGTGATCCAGCCCTTGCCTTCCATTGGCGACTGAACCTGCTGGGTTACGGGTGGGCAAACTTCTGTAAAGTGTCAGGCAGAAAATGTTTCCGCCTTTGCGGGCAGGTGTTGTTAAGTGAAAGCGGCCACAGACAACGCATAAGCAAAAGAGCGTGGCTGTGTTCCAATAAAACTGCATAAACACCGAAAGGTGAATTTTATATAATTTTCACGTTTCACAAAATATTCTCCTGATTCCTTTTCAGCCACATAAAAATGTAAATTCATGGTTGGCAGGCGGGCTTTATTGTTAGTCAACCCCAAAGCTAGAGGAATAAAAGACCGCCTCCCGTGGGGATCAAGACCTGGCCCCGTCCCCTGTGCCTCCCCCACAGCCTGTAGGGTCTCTGGGAGGCAGACTACCATTTTAAGGATGACTGCATTAAAGCACTAAACCATCACGAGAACACTAGGCAGGCCATACGTCAGCCTGTCAGCGTGGGAAGAGTCCCAATGCAGCTCGCAAGACGCAACCAGGTTTCGGGCTCCGGCGCAGGAAGAGTCTGAAAACACTTCCAGGCCCCACTCTAAGAGTCTGCGCGGCGCTGCTTAGGCAGGTACTCACCGGGTGCCAGTTTTAATATTCCCAAGCAAAGCGGCAGAGGCGATGGCCCAGCGCGCGTTTGTCACTAACCCACCGCAACCCCACAGCTCGCTAACTGAGAGGCCCACAGCCCCTGCCCCTACCCCTGCGCTCCTTCCGGGTCAGAGGCGGGCCAGGCAGTGATCTTTAAGCCAGGGATCAGTCCCACCAGGACCCGACGCCGCTCAACGCTGCCGCCCCGTTGGGAGGAGCCGGGCTTCAACCAGCGGAGCTCTGCGAGCACCCCCGCGCGTCCGGCCCTTTCTCGTCGGGGGCGCGCGCGGGCGAGCCGGACCCGGCGCGAGCCGGCAGCTCTCACACTAGACTCCGGCGGGTTCCGCCGCCGCGCGCGCCCCCGCGCGCGCCGCCCGCGCTCTCGCCGCCAGCGCCTCAGCTGCCAGCCAATGAGCCAATTAGCGTTCGGCGAGGCTGCGGCCACTTCCTAGTCCACCGGGGCGAGCTCTCGAGACTGCTGGGCCGGACGCGGGGCGGGGCAGGGCGGGGACTGCGCTCAGCCTCTCTGCCTGCCTCCGCGGGTCCGAGCCAGGGGTGGGCGCAGGTCGTTCAAGGCGCACCACTGCAGATCGGACAAAAAGAAACTTTGGGGTGCCGGGAGTGCCGGCTGGCGGGGCGTTCGGTTGACTTTTCTTGCGTGGTCTTTAGTATCAGCTGCACCAGGAAGCGAGATGTCGAAGCCGCCACCCAAACCGGTCAAACCAGGTAAGGGAGGTGCTTCTCGGGTCCCCTGACCGCCTTGGTGCCCTGTGCTTCCTCTGCCACTTGGCAGGGCAGACCTGGCACGTACCGGCCCCGAGGCTCGCTCTCGAGATCCGACCCACCAGGATGGGAGTTGTTAGCTTTGTTGCGTTCTCAAAAGGGGAGGGATCGGTTTGGATAGCAAGAGGATTTCGAGGATTTTTAAAAAGTTTACTTTTAAAGAGGAGTCGCCCTCGGTTTTGCAACATTGACATTCGCCAACTTTCAGGCGGGTGTGATGGCTACGTCCCATTGAAGCTTTTCTGGTAGAGAGGGCCATTGATCTCCCTTTAAAAAATAAATTAAATAAGTGTCTTGAAATGGTCTTGTAGCCACTTCCTTTTTTTTTTTTTTTTTAATTGTGTGTCACTGTCAAATTAGAGTTCTTGACCGGCCAGAGCGAACGGGAAGTGCGCTGCTTGCAGGGTGGGGTGGGTGAACGACTCTCCTTTGGGACTTTTGAGAGGAACAGCGTTTGAAATTGACTTCGGGATCTTGGGAAGAACTTTGGAGAACTCTGTACTCGGGTTCATGGCGGGAACAATCTAAGCTGCGGCAATCTCAGCTATTACTATTCGGAAGTGTCCCTTTATCATGCAATACAAGTCCTCTGCCTCTGCTCTCCCAGTGAATTTGGCCTGCTAAACTGGAGAGGGCAAGATTACTAAGTTCCTCAAAGTCGGTTTCTTGGCCCGTAGCCCTGGTTCATTTTTGTCTCTGTTCTTAGAATATTTTCTGCGATAGGGAGAAAAAGGAATTTAAAAGGGACTGATGTATTTCAGCTCAATACCGTGTAACAAACTCCTACATTCATTTGGTAGGTAATTACAGGAAACGTAAGAAATGGAAAATAAATAGTTCTGAGATACTGTCAGGTTTTTTTCTCTAAGTTTCATGAAACTTCATTGTAGCATAGGCTGAAATTTATTCATTTGCATTACATTTCAAAGTAATCTGGGTCGCAAGGCATAGAGTTTCAGTGATTAATTTCTTTTCATTATTTTTCTAAACTTTAATCAAGCCCTATAACTTGCATGATTATTCAGTGTTCTTTCTTTGCCCTCATACATTGTTAGTTTCAAGTCATTCTATTTGAAAATTATGTACATACTCACATACATGGAATAGTGATTGACTGAGCACCTAAATTTTGGTGGGCTGGTGTTGGGGGACTTGGGCTCTGCTCTGAGCAAAGATGGGGCTTGGCTAGAATTGGGCTCTGTAGTTATTTAGATATGGAATCTGAAGAGGAATTTGCATTTTAAGTGAATATGTAGGAGGTGGCAGCTTTCTAAACTCGATTGTAAATCAGGACCTCAAGCATCCAGCAAAGTGGAGTTGTTCTTTGATAGCTAAACAAAGTACTGTATTTTATGTTAAAGAATGTCCTGAGAAGCTATTCATGAAGTTTTTTTAATCTCTCTAGACATTGCGTGTCTTTGTGGTAGCTGGAGGGGTATAAACAATGATATGTATGTGTGTGCACAAGTGTGTACATGAGTACTAATGCACAAACAGGTGTGATTTAGGAATTGTAGTATTAACAGTTGGGAATAAACACCCAGGAACCATTTTTATTGTGCAACCCAACTGCTTTCTCCCCTTTAGCAAACCAGAATGCAAATGGTTGAAAATGACTGCTGTTAAAAGAGAGCTTGAATTCCACACTTGTTTATAAATGACATCCAAACTCAAATAAGGTCACCATAGAAATTGGTTTGTTAGTTTCTAATGCACAGTAAGAAATAGAACTTTCAATCATACTTGAAACTTTGTGTGGCCTGGCTTAATTGAAAACAGAACTGTCCTATTATAGTCCTGGCCCACATTTACTGTGTGCCAGGCACTGATCTAATCACCTTAACTGTTTTAACTCATTTACTTCTTACAACAACCCTGTGAGCTCAGTAACATTGTTTCCATTGCGCAGGCTGGAGAATGAAGGCAAAGCACAGAAAGATTAAGTAATTAGCTCAAGGTCAGTAGTTGGATGAGGAGGAGCAAGCAGGATTAGAACCCAGGTAGTCTGACTACAGTATCTGGGCTCTTAACTATAATGCTTTTCTGCCTTATAAGTGCACCATTCATAAAATGGTCATGTGTATTTCAGAGTTTGTGGGCAGAAAGTGGAAACTGCCTCTGATCCTCCGTCAGACTTTCTTGTCTCAAATGCATGTGAAAGTCACCCCTCAGGTTGGTAGCAGCAAGGAGAGGTGCTGAGCTTTTACACTCTTGTCCTGCCCGGAAGCTACGTGGGTGAAAATGTCTGAAGCAAGCTTCGACTTGGGGATGGGGAGGTATACTTTAATTTTTGGCTTCTTGATTTGTTTATACTCTGCCTCACCCCAAATGCGGAAAAGTTAGCATTCAGATCCTGTAGATTTGACTGTCAGCTCCAAGCAGAGAGATTACAGATCAATCACAAGATTCCTAGTATTCATAAAATTAAAATGTAGTAATTGCTCTGAGAGGAGTTATTTTACCAGCACTGAGATCTGAAATGAATTTCTCCCATAGTTCTCTTAAAGTGTTGGGTTGGACTAGGCATCTCTACGAGGCACACAAGGTAATCCCTGCCAGCTTCCTGCAAAGCAAGGTCCTGGCAGAACAGCATGGCAGTGCTAATAGGAGGGTAGCTAGGCAAGGGAGGACTTATTGGAAGATTTTAGTAACAAGGAACATGAAGCTATAATGTAGGCTGATGTATTGGGTTGGCTAAAAGTTTGTTCTGTTTTTAACATTTTTTAAAAGACACATTTTTCACTTTCACCAATAACTTTATTGAACAGCATATTCACTGTTTTGTTCCACTACCTTCTGCCTTCTTTCAGGCAACTTCATAATTCCATCTTCCCAAAACTTTTTACCTTTTTGAGCAAAGAACTATTGTAATGCCTTTTGCAGTCTTCTAGGGAATTGAAATTTTTTCATTAAGAGAATTCTGTAAAGAATTCTCTTTACATCTTACATCTTAATTTACATCTTAATGTAAAGAGAATTGGAATAAATAGAAATCTGAAGATGCAGTGTGTGGTGAATATGGCGCATGAATCAGAACTTCCCAGCCAAGCTGTAACAGTTTTTGCCTGGTCATCAAAGAAACATGAGGTATTGCATTATCCTAATGGAAGATTATGCATTTTCTGTTCACTAATTCTGGATGCTTTTTGTCGAGTGCTGCTTTCAGTTGCTCTAATTGGGAGCAGTACTTGTTGGAATTAATCATTTCATTTTCCAGAAGGAGCTCATAATAGAGAACTCCTTCCAATCCCACCATATACACAACACCATCTCCTTTAGATGAAGACCGGCCTTTGATGTGGGTGATGGTGGTTCATTTTGTTTGCCCCACCATCTCTTCTGTTTCACATTATTGTAAACTGTCCACTTTTCATTGCCCATCACAACTTGTTTTAAAAATGGAACGTTTTCATTACATTTAAGTAGAGAATCACATGCAGAAATAAGGTCAAGGCTTTCTTTCCACTTATGTGGAACCCAAACATCAGAGTGATTAACATAATCAAGCTGGTGCAAATGATTTTCAATGCTTCATTTGGATATTTTGAGTATGTCATCTTTCTCCCATGTGGTATAATGTTGATTGTTCTCAATTAATGTCTCAATTTGATCTCTATCAACTTCAACTGATATACCCGACTGTAGAGCATTGTCCAGTGAGAAATCTCTAGCACGAAGCTTCACAAACCACTTTTGACACATTCGATCAGTCACAGCACCCACTCCATACACTGCACAAATCATTTTTGTGTGTTTCAGTTGCATTTTTACCTTTCTTGAAATAACAAAGCATAATATGCCAAAAATGTTGCTTATTTTCTTCCATCTTCAATATTAAAATGGCTACACAAAATTCACCAATTTTGATTTTTTTAAAAAAATGCATGCTGCTGATATGACAGCTATCACAAACAAAATTAACTGTAAAATCTAACAAAATTGCTTCAAATGAAATTGATGACAACAAAGAGCTACTAGAGCCAAATTACATAAAAAAACAAACAAACCTTTTGGCCAACCCAGCATCTATTGGGGTGATTGGCAATACCCTTGAAGTAGACCCTTTTGGAAAGGAAGCTGGTCAGCTGCTTGTGGGAAAGTCCTGCCACTTAATTTCTTTTTGCAATTCCTTAATTTCCTTCCTGAGGTTATAACAGCAGTCACCTTGGGATTTGGGCCACAATCAAAATTCATTTGCTAAAAACACTTTTTAAAACATGTAGCTTATATTTCATGCCCTGTGCTAGACACTGTGGTTCCAAAGAACAGTGAAATAAATTTTCATTCATGAAGGTCTTGAGTCTAATAGGGGAGATTTATATATCTACAGATTAATTTTAGATTGTTCCATATCTACAATTGGATGCTTTTGCTTGTCCATTTTGTTTAAAACAAATCATGTAGTTAAAAATCAAAGTAATATTTTTATGATAGAAAAT